ACAAAGCCAAACTCCAAGTGTGAATTGCTTGAACATAGTTCTGGCACCGTAGCAGTACTGTTTTCAATAAGCCTTTGCTTAAGGAAAAGGCTCTGAGCTCTCGAAGTGGGTCTTTAAAAAATTGCACTTTCGATTTTTGAATACTCAAAACTTAATAACCTCAACAAAGAGTTTAATACTCACAAGCGATGCAGCACCGCGGATTCTGGTGGCTGCTTGAAGCCGTTTAAGCAAAGGCACGCCGCGTCGAACTTCGCGTTTCAGTTTCCAAAAGGCGTAGACACGTTGAAAAAATTCCTCCTTGCCATTATTCACCCCGGTGAGCTCGGAGTAAATAAGCTGATGTGCCCAAGATTAGCGCAATACCAGTGATAGTGGCGATGAGAAAGCATAAAAAAGAGAAGTGGTAGGGCCTTACGTCACTCTTTGACTTGGCCACCATGGGTACACACACAAGGGGCTTGGAGTTGCGTCTCTCAGCAAGGACTTTTCTAGCGTTCTTGATAGTCGTTCTCTTCACTGTCTCCTCGTCGGCGTCCGAGGACATCCCTTCATCGTCAGTATGTGCGTACATTCCCCTATGGGCGTTGGCCTAGACAAAAACAGTGCTAGATTATAACCCTTATCCTAATGGAGATCATTCAGGTTAGCATTTATACTACAGCGACATTAGGCTCGGGGTAATAAGAAACGAGCCTTAAAATGAGAAGGGGGACAATGACGATCGCAATAAGCGCGCTTTCGAATGCCCAAGTCGTTGGGATCATCGCTCTGTTCGATCTTCATGTACAAACCAGCCTGTTGTGCACAGGTGACATGAAAGGCCCGGTAGCAGCTTTGTTTATGACATTGAATACAGGCGCCCACATTTCGCTGCTTACAAATGAAACAGCGCAGAGTCCACCTTAAAGCAATTAACAAACAAGATTTGTCGCCTGAGTTTATCCAATGATGTAGGGACGAAAGTTCAAACGCACCTTGCAGATGAGATTTTATCGATATCCTCGAGAGGTTCCAGAAAAGTTAGGTTAGCAAACATAACCTCGGGAATCCAAAGCCCACAAATTACATGGGCCCAACGGTCATCAGAGGTCTTTTTGAAGGCGCCTCCGGTGTTGGGACAGAGGCAGCATGAGATTGGTTCACTAGGTGAATGCAGACACTTACGACACAGCCAGGATCCCTCTGGAATATACGGAACGCCGTAGCAATCCTACAAGCATGAAACAATTTAAGACAAATTAAATAGGTCGAGTTCAAGTCAGAGGTGAAAACAGCCGAGGAACCTGATGTACGGCGAGGTTGCAAACATCACAGAAGAGAATGGCATTAATATTTTCACAATTTCCATCCTGACAAACGGCACACACAGCATCCTCCTCATCAGCATTATTTGCCATGGCCGTGGAAATATTCAGACTGTTTTCGGCAGTTGACCGAAATTGCGCCTTCTTTTCAAAGCGATCTAGGACCCACTCGAGTTTTGATTGCTCTACTGGTTCCATACCCTTTGCCTCCCGGTCTGCATTTATTTTTTCTAACCAAAATAGATCCTAGTTAAAGGAAGCGGTAAATGCGAATAAAGGTTACGAAGGGAGACGGATAATGATTACAGAGACGGAAAACATACTTCCTCATCAAGATCATATTCAACAATTTCGTCTAACTCCTCAGGGGAACGTTCTACAAATCTCAGGTATGCGCAACCCTTTTTCCATACTGGGGGTTTGCGTTGATACATGAAGTTCGGATCCACCTCAAATTGGGGAACGGGAGCATTGCCTGCTAGCTGAGTTTGATTGACATCGACTGCGCCTATGGCGGTGTCATGCGAAAAAAAACCTGCGACTCATTTAATCTGCCATTTTTTTGTGGTGTCAAAAATAAACTACTCCTACCTCGGTCAGAATTCCCTGTTTTCCAGTCACTTAGGGCTTGAGTTCCATCGACAGAGACTTCAGAAGAGAGATGTATTGGCACATTGATGCTGCACCGAACACTTCGAGAATGTTCAGCAGACAAGTTAAAGACAATTAGTTTTTGTGTGTCTAGAAAACGCATTGGAGGGAATTTATTATGGCGCCACTCAGACTTCAAGCTGGATCTGGGGCTGGTCATATGGGATTCCAAAAGAGACGTTGAGATGTCCACAGGATCTGGAGCCCGATGGCACGCCATGTGCTG